AGCGCGTAGCCTTCGCTACCGCGGCCGCTCGAACGGTCTACGCGCGCTCTGATTAGTCGGGGTTTTCGCTTAATATCTCCTTAACGAAGCCCTATCCGACATTTTTGCAAAGAAAATTGTTGTTCAGAATCGTCTCAGCTACCCCCCATTTCCGGCTCGTCCGCGACTGTTGGGACACTCTGTATACTAATATGTCCATTGTACGGGAAAAAAAATTAATACTTTGTCGCATAGGCTTCATTCATTTATTTATTTATTATTCTTCGTTTCGTTTCCTCCAAATCATTGTTCTTCCATCGGACCCAAATAAATTAAATTTGCTTTCATCGCTGAATATTACTGTGTCCTGGAATTCCTGCGATTTGTTTATATATTGTTCCGCAACTATTGTTCCATTTTTTTTTGTTAACTGCAGACACGAAAGGCTTACGCTTTGCAGCGCGTTCATGATAATATGGTCTTTTTACCACATTTCATTGTACAGTTTGCGCCGTAACAGTTTTATTACTAGTGTTTGCAATTTCATTTACAATGTGTTTCCTTGATGTATAATCTGCACGGCTGCTTTAGAACTAATTAAGAATCGAAAATGCATTTTCTTATATACTCTCTCTAGGTAGTGTTGCCTAATACATTTACAGTTAACTATAAATGGTTAAATAGAAATTTTTCTCTTCAGAAGGGCAATTTTTTGTGCTCTCAATAATGGTCTCGTACCTTTGCACATTTTCAATTTATAGTAGATTATAACATTGAAAAAATATGAGTTACTTATGTTATAAGCAGACTTTTTTTACCCACTGTATATTTCGAACCGCATCAAAATAATTGCGTATCGGGAACTTCAAACGATATATGTACGATACATGGAATACGTTTTCATTCGTCCAATTTGAAAGTGACCGTATCTTTCAAACTTGACCCGTAAAGGGGGCAAATGGGACTCTATCCTCTTTTTTCTCAAATGTCTAAATATTTTGGGTTTTTGTTTGTCAAATGTATACCAGCATGTTCGTGGCGATTTTCTGATGAAAATGACACCAAACATGATGTGATTTGTTTAATAAATGACGAAATCACATCCACAATGTAATTGCATAATCAAAAGAGAATTTTATTACAGGTAATCCGATGTACCTGAAGTGAGGTATCATTTTAATCGGGATGACACCAGGAATCCATTGATGGTATTTCCATGAGGCTGTCATGAAAAATATCAAACGACTGATATATTTTTGGTACTTTGCCCGCTATCCTTTGTTGTCCGCTAAGCACCATACCTGAGTTTGCTCGGCTGCCTACGGTCGCGAGGCCGGTGGCTCATCAATTGTTCACAAAATCAAATTCTGTGCCCTTCATTGAATCAATGGAAAAGATGTCACCAAAGAATTTTTTGGTGTTTTCTTGATTAAAATGGTACCTAATGTCACGTAAATCAGACTATTTCCAACTCAGATAGCTTCTGATTGGGCACTTCTATTTTTCATGCAATTCCGTTCATTTTATTATTGTCGAATTTCTGTCGTCTTCGTACATTTGTATAATACATTTTTCTTACATTTATGTATGCCTCGCATATAATTAATTATAATTATTCATTCTTTTCGTATAGCCGGCAAATAAAAAAAGCAGCGTGCCTCGCGGTAAGTCGAAGTACCGCGGAGGAAGCAGGTACTTCGTACCAAATATTCCAAGAGGATGAAGTTCCTGCTATGTCAAATTCGATGAATTACGACTGTAACTATGTGGTAGAGCGAGCGGAACCACAACAGTTGAAAAATTCAATATCTAGAGGTATAGACTTCGCTGATTTTGCGTATGTTTTCAAACAAATAGAAAATTTGCAAAATCATTCGACTATAGGCTGTGGCATTGAACATTTTGACATAATTGGATGTCAACAGTATGGATTGGAAAAAACGTACAATGTTCAATGCCGAATGTGTAATCACGTGGAGCGTATATTCTGTCTTCAGCAGAATCATGGCAGCATGGATATCAACCACGCCGCTGTTTCCGCAACAATGGTGACGGGCGGCGGATACAATCAACTGGAAGAAGTAATTTCTGTTATGGACGTGTCCTGCATGACGAAAAGAATATATGAGAAATGTCAGAATGACATAATCGATGCCTTCGAAGTGACCGCACAACGCGAAATGGAAGATGCAGGAAGAGATGAACAAGAATTAGCCAGAGCAAGGGGCGATATAGTTCCAGGAACTGATACACCGTCGATATCAGTTATCGCGGATGACAGCTGGATGAAGAGGTTATACCGCGGAGGTGATTACAATTCCCTTTCTGGGGTAGGAGTCATTGTGGGATACCACACGAAAAAAGTATTATATATCAGCGTGAAAAATAAATTTTTCCTGATTTGCCAAAGAGCGACGAAAAACATGGAAGAAGCACGCGAGTATCGATGCTTTAAAAACTGGGGTCGTAACCAGAATTCGACTGGGATGGAAAGTGCTGCTATTGTGGAAAGATTCAAGTGCAGCATAGAAATGCACGACCTCATCTACTCTATACTTGTTGCCGATGGCGATAGCAGCGTGTACAAGAAGATATTGGACAATGATCCATATGAAAAGTACATGGTGCGTGTACGAAAAATAGAATGCACCAATCACCTGCTTCGCAATTTCGGTAGAAAAATTACCGATATTGTAACAAAAGACCGCCACAAGGAGCTAAGAGCTATCGTACAGCAGAATGCTATACGCCTACGTACAGGTATCAAGAATGTTGCAGAATACCGATCAAAAGAGAAATTAAGACTCGTTGAACATATACAAAATTTGAAAGAAGATATGAAAAATGTACCCAGTCACGTTTTCGGGGAGCACAAGGACTGTCAGAAGTTAGCATACTTTTGTAAGAAATACTCTGACCCCGACAGAGTGAATTATGGTCCAAAGTTGAAAGAAGCCGGTATATATCGAAATATCGAAGAAGCAATGAAAACTTTCGCTAAAGCTGAAAGTTTGCTGTACGGTCTGAATAATAATGCTGTTGTAAGCTTTAATAATATCATTGCCAAATTTATCGGAGGTAAAAAAATAAATTTTGGACGAAAAGGCTCGTATCAGGGCAGAGTCAACGCTGCTGTCGTCCAATTCAACACGACAGAGACGTACAGCAAATTGAGTATGGCAGTGGACGAAGAACCGACAACCATCGTAAGGAAAATGCCAAAATATCCCACTTAAAAAATAAGCAATAATCTTGCGACCAGGATTACGGTCCCAACGCAGACAAACCCGATATGGAAGATACTGTATATTCTGCCGAGTATAAAAGGCACATGGATATACTCCACGAATGGCAAACGATGCGGCACACGATAGAAGCAGAAACTCGAGATCAAGCGGAAAGCGAGAAATGGATAGCTTATAGGAGAAAATTATTAACCGCATCCAATTTCGGCAAGATATACCGATTACGAAAAGATACACCGCGAGCAAATACTTTGAAAAGTATAATGTATCCGCAAATACCGAATCTACGATGCCTACAATACGGAAGGGAGAACGAAGCAAACGCAACTGGAAGAAGAATTAGGAATTCATATTCGACCATATGGCCTCTTCATCGATGCCGTTGTGCCTTATTTAGGTGCAACTCCTGATGGCAGCGTAGACGATGATACCATCGTCGAAGTAACCACCACTACCATTATTATTATCAAGTGCAAGGACAGCTGCACATAACAAATAGACAATATTGTCTATTTGGTTTATGGACGCCGAAAGGAGTAAAAATGATAAAAGTATCAAGAAATGATCAATTCTGGGCAACACAGATGAAGGAAAAACTCAAAAAGTTTTATAAGGACTCTTTGTTGCCAGAGATCATAGATAGCAGATTTAATCGATACCAGCCGATTAGAGAACCGCCGTATGTAAAAATAGGCGGAGCATCTACGAGTACCAAATGAAAATCTATATAAAAATGTACATATGCACCTGCGTGTGCATCAGCGAATTCAAAAGCTGTATAAAATAATGTACATATACACCGGCGTGTGCATCAGCGAATCCATAAAGCTGTGAAATAAGCAATGTTCCTGACCGGTAAGTAAGGAAATAGTAAAATGTACATATGGAAAGTGAAGAGGACCGTCTATGACGAGGTTGGTGGTGGGACTCTTCAAACTTTCCTATTAATAATTTTTAGTTGCAGCTATTCTTTCAGTTCAATGGGAAATGACATGTATAAAAGTGTAAGTATGACATTTATACTTTTGTTATGGAAATAATTGGATTAATTGAAAATAATCTTCAGTTTTTTGTTGATCTAGAAATTTGCTTCATTTATTTCCACTGACTAGTATCAAAGACAAAAACCAAGCTGTATGAAGCAAGGAAAGAAAGCAAGTATTCGAAATGGTTGGATACAGATAAGTAACTAACATACACACATTTACAGTCTTATTGTATACAAGTTGATTACAATTCGTTCTAACTTTTTCTGACAGGTTCTATGACCAGAAACTATAATCGAAAGGGGTCAGCGATACTGCAACAAAATATTTATCAGAGATAGGGAACACTCGTAATGGGTTCTTCAGGATACTTAGGTATCAATTTTTACATTCAATTAGTATAAACTCAAAAAGTAATTTGTATTAAACTTCTTTATTTTTATAGATGAAACTAGAGTGTACAGCATGATACTTCAAGACATGTATTTGTCGTCCGACAATTGTATTAATTGAAAATCACCATATATGCGTAAAAGAAAGAAAGTAAGCCTTTGCAATGCATGCATGCTAATATATAACTAACACACATATATTAACATGTTTATTGCATACTGAGTTATTACAACTTGTTCTAACTTTTTACCACAAGTTCTACAACCAGTAACTTGCAACAAAATATTTCTCAGAAATAGTCAACACTAGTAATGGAGTCTTCAGAAAATGTAGGTATCAATCTTTACATTCAAATGGAAAAGTACTTGTTATTGGCATCTATGAATTTATTTGAATTATTTTTAGTGACTACTATCAATGATGAAAATCGTGCTCTATCAGGAAAGGAAAGGAAGCAGGTCCTTGCAGTGTAACCATAAAGATAAGTAAATCATGTACATTTACATGTTTATTGCACGCAGATTGATTGTAATTCATTCTAACTTATTATTGTAGGTTCTATGACAATAAAGGAGTCAATACCATTGCAAGAAATATTTAGAAGAAATAGGAAACTAATAGTGGATTCACCAGGAAGCTAGGTATCAGGTTTTACATTAAAGTAGTATAAATTCAAAAAGTACTTATTGTTAAACTCATTTATTCTTACAGATAAAACTAAGGTGTACAGCGTGACAGTTCAAGAGATTTTATACATTCTTTATTGCAACTATTATAACGTAAACACATTTCGAACAATTAAAATGTATAATTAACTTTTTACGCTTGCACTATCAACGTACTCCCTGTTTAAATCACTTTAAAATTACTACGCGGAGCATTCAAAATCACTCAAGGAAGAAGTATACAGTATATGTTGTTGAGAACAAACTATACTGTATAGCAATAACGAGCAACTCCATCTAGTTTTCCTCCGCTGCCGCATATCTAATGGTAATACCATTTCTATGCAGAGAGTAGCTGCTGTAATACCGACCTGCCCCCTTAAGACGGCCGAGGCGGCTTTGTAGTGTCGCAAGTTAATCTGCGAACATCTAAGGCCGTCCCCTATCACGTTGGTAGGGACCATGCCGATCCTCGCTCGTTGACGCGTCGGGGAGTTTGGGGGTTCGCAATTACTGGCCATCCCCCCCCCCCCTCCATTCCTCTCCGCCTCCGGCCTTCTTCTGTGGATGCCCTAAGAGGGTCTTCTGTGACCCTCTTTGGGTCTCCTCTAGGCCCTCCGTAATCAGGGCTTGGTTCTTGGAGGGCCTACCCCTGCCCCCCAATCTCGAGCCCTTTCTCCCCCTTCTCCTCTCAGGTGCGGGTCCCTTTCCCCTCGAAGGGCCGGCTTTTACCGCCACCTTCGAGGATTCGGGCCCCCCACTGAGGGGGACATTAGTACCTCTTGGTACTTCGGCTACCGGGTTCGTGGCCGGTGGTCCAGATTCCGATGAAACCTCCATCGGTTCCCCAGCCCCGGTTCCACCCCCCTTCGCCGGTTCCGCACCTTTGTGCGAGGGTCCCCCGGTCCCCACCCCGGTCCAGGTACGGGTCTCATAAAAATGAGCCCTTCCCAGTCCGCAGTGGGGCCTGAGCCTCTCAACCCTTAAGATTTTAAGGGATTCGGCGTCTACGCTGAGCACCGTGTGTGTAGCGCTGTCGACTACCTTCCTGTCCCACAGCCACCATAAGGAGGTCCGTAGGCCAGGGTTGGCATGTCTTAGCCTCCTCAGGATGACCTCGGTGCTCTCCACCATCATGGGCAAGACCGCTGTCATCCTGCTGATGCCTCATCCTCCGAGCAGGTGATTCACAGGAGCTCCTGCTTGAACTTTACTCCCTCAAAACGAGGGGCCTTCTCCTCTGCATCTTGGGCCTCCATGAGCCCAAGCTGCACCTGTTTTGCCTTCCCTTTGGTAAGTAATGCCTCGGGATAGCCGGAGAGCGCCAAAGCCGCTCTCCTGCCGCCCTTCAACGCCTCGGCGTAACCTGATAGGGCAGACAACTTTACCCTTTTTTCAGGGCTTAAGAGGAGTCTCTTCATCTGATCTGGGCCTTTTCAAGCCCTGATCCTGGACCCCTCCCGAGTTCCCTGCCACTTCGTCCGAGTTAGCCGCCTCAGAGGCCGACAAACGCTCTGCCAATTTGGCTTTGCGCGCCTTCCTCTTAGTGGCTCCACTCTTCTTCTTCCATGTGCGTTTGGTGTCTGTGGATTCAGTGGTCCCAGTCGGTGCCGAGCCCTCCGTCTCCACAGACGATTGTGGTGTGGTCATCGACAGCCCTCGCGTCAGCTCGGTAAGTATCTCGCCGACACAGAGGTCCGCCTCAACCACACCGGGCGTAGTCGAAGGCCCCCCTGTCGAAGTCCCTTCGCGTAAATATAAAAATAAAAAAATGGGTGTAATAGAAAAAGCATGTGGTTTCATAAAAATCCCACGAGAGGGCAAGAAATATTCTCTCCGTCCCCGCAGAGATTGCTTGCGGGTGTAAGGCTAAAATACAATGGGATTTGCCTGGTGCCCCAAGAGCATCGTTCACGATACCGTCACCCCGGTGCCATCCAGCCCTCGGCACGATGGCTTACACCTTGGCTTGGGGAGTTGGTCCGCGGCGGGGCCTTGGTTCCCCTGGGCCGGGTTTTACGCCTGCCGGGTCCCTTATAGCCCTTACTGACCCTGCCACCTTGGCCTCCCCGACCGAACGCGGCTTGAGATCCGCAACTCGGTACGGGTCTGACTTCGGCATCTCTGGCCGTTTCTCTATTCGCCACCCGGGGACGCGCCCGGTAGGCACTCAACCTTATCCTCTCCCCCCTTTCGGGGGTAGGACCGAGAATATCAGATGAATATGTATTTTAAATTGGAGAAAAAATATATTGTTGCGAATATTAAATAAATATCTATTTTATATTTGGGAAAAAATATTCCATTCTAAATAATGAATAGGTATTCATTTTATACTTAAAAAAAATATATATATTTTTGTCTAAATCTAGAATAAATATCATACGTATATTTATCCTGTAAAAGATAATCGGTAGCGCCACGTTATACAGGGTGGCTGTATAATTTTACATGAACTTGGCTTTGAGACGCTACCGCGTATCTAGATATTAAAATGAGATTGAATCTTTTATTGTATGAATCTGTATTCAATATTTCGCGCTACTAGGGTATGTGAACCTGACACCCAACTGCCAAAAAATTAACGTTTTTTTACGGAAAATGATAATTTCATTTCGATTTTAGTATTAAGTTGTTATAATTTTTTTTCATATATCAATTGATGAGACTACAAACAAAATACTATAATTTTCCGTAAAAAAAGTTAATTTTTTTTAGTCAGGTCCCACGTTCACATAGCTTACAAGGAGACATTGTCTATTGTCCCCCGAATTATTTAATCAAATTTTTTTCATATGTAAAGAAGGGAATGTAGAACAATCTCTGCAAGTGAGAAGCCGCGACACTATTTCATTATCGAGAAATCAATTTTTAAAAATAGCTAAATTTCGATTGACGAGTGTCAACCGTATAAGAGTTCGAGGTATTATAGAAGCAGCGTGGCACAGTCGATAGCGTGCCATGTTGCGAAGACGATCTTTTGTGCTGGAAGCGGTTCGATCCCGGTAGGAGTCACTTATTTCTTTTTTACTTTTTTTTCCGTTTATACCATGTTTTGTTATGGAAACTACATTTTTATATATTAAGTTTATTTTTATACAATATCGAACAGGATCCCCGACAGGCGGGCAGCGAGCACACGCTCAAAGAGCTTGCCCGCTTCGTCGAGGTGACAGATCGGCCGATACGCGGAGGGATCGCCCGCGGGCTTTCCCTTTTTCGTGACGAGGACCATCCGCGCCCGCCTCCACTGGAGCGGGACCCGCCCCGACACGACGCGGTTGCGGAGCTCCGAAACCGTCCTCTCCAGCTTCTCCTCCATTCCCGATACCTTCATTCGCTGGGTCTGCTCGACCGCGGCGGTCTTTATAGTCAGCGCCGCAAGCCGAAGCTGGCGCACCAGCCAGCCCTTAAGATTGTTCGAGCACTGAGCGACTTTATGGATCGCGTCCAGCGACTCGAAAATCTTTGCCCCCAGTTCGGAGGTGGGCGCGTGGCGCATTTCTGAGGCCAGCTCCCTCTTTTCCCTGAGCGACTTACTGGACTGGACTTCGCGGTCGAAGTCCTGGGTGGAGGTGGGACCACTGAGGGGCCCTCCACGTTGGGCTCTGTCTGAAGCTCAGTTCCCGAACCTGGAGCTCCAGGAGTCGTCGCTTCGTCTCGGCGAGGGCGGAAGAATCACCCGTTGTAGGCGGGCGGCCCCTTTTTCGTGCACTCATGAAGGACCCCACGGACGAGGCCGACACAACGGAGCCTGTCGAGGCGTCTGAGTCGGCACCGTTAGCCGTTAGGTCCTCCCCTAACCCTATTCGTCGCCCGGGTCGCAGCCGACGACTCTCCAGCCTCTCAACTCGTACAGCTGAACCCAGGGACCTGGTGGTCCACCCCGGGGTTCTCCCAGTTGTAGGATAACGACGCGGGGGAGCCTGGTCGACTACTCCTTACCGGGGATCTGACGCCCCCTGCGCCATAAACGTTACATCCGTTCGTGTCCATTATCATTGAGTAAGGTGCTCCATTGCGGGTGGGCACCGTACCCGGAACTCCTTCTCGCTTGCCGTGTCGTCAACAAGAAATCCGTCGTGTTGCCATCTCACCGCCTTCGCCCTCCGCATCCAGCAATTCGGTTCTCGCAAGCGAGCGCCGACTACTGAAGCGGAGACCCAAGAGCCCCGCGAGGAGGTGCGGTGAGTGGTCTTGACTGGACGCAGCCCGCCAACTTCGCCGAAATTCCCCGCCCAGGAGGACGCCAAAGCGCCTCTCTGGTGTAAGGGAACATCAGCTAGGTCGTGGTTTTTGACCCGACTTGGAGATTTGTGGAAGAGGCATGGTGACCTCAACCAACTGCCCCAGTGCCAGGAAAGCGTGCGTCCAGCCTCGTACTCCCGGGAGATACCAATTTCCAGCAGCTATCTGACTTCGCGTCAGAGTCGTCTGCGATTTCTACTCCATCCTCAATCTTTGGATGTATTGAAATAAACAGGACTAATCGTATCTTCTTCGATTCTTGAATTCAACCCACTCGCAGGGCTCACACGCGCGTCGCTATCGCCCTGGCTTGTAACAAACAAAACAGAAATTCATAAATTTTTGCATCTGTGATCATTGCGAAAACCTCTCCGGCAGCCAAATGTAAAGGGTTTCATCGATTTCATCGGTTTCAGGCCAAACATACGTGAAACAGTACGTTTTTTGCAATAAAAAGTGATATAAAGTGGAAAAAAGTAAGACAAGAACAAATGTTTTGCTATAGGACCAAATGGCAAATGCTCTTCTAGATGCAAGAAGTTTCAATCTGATTGGTCCCTCAGCCTCGGAGTAAGAAGCAAGACAAAATGTTTCTGAGGTAGCACATTTTTTGTCAAATAAAAAGGGGAATCAGGAAAAATGGATGGTACTGCATTCGTCATAATCTTTGGACTTCTCAACGAAACATTCTCCAATACACCATTAGGAGACAGAATTCCCTGGTATCTTATAATATCAGCGTCTGCAAAATGCAGACTGCAGACAGCAGAATATTTTGTTGGTGTCTAATTCTTACATGGAATAGCGGCCATCCATTTTTTTTCGCAATTCCTCATCTTTAGGAAATAAAAATATAGAATTAAAATTATGTTTTAATGCACTATCATAGTTACTCTTACAATTAGGAACAGAGCAACGTCGCGGCATTATTAATTAATAAATGTAATAATGTAAATTTAAAGAAATAGTCTACAAGTGTAAATAAATAAATGGACTACGCACAAAGTAAACACCTGCAGAGTTGATATAAATAAATATAACTTACCATTGCACTCACCATCCTCAACAGATTCCCTGGAAACATTTAAAAAATAGGAGAGAAATGAAAAGCCCAGTAGAGGGAGACAGTAGTTGGGAAGCTGTAGGGACTTACATATAGTCATAGGTCCAAGCAACATTACCAACCTAAGCTAGAGAATCTAGCGTGAGGAGATTTTCGTCGTTTTGAATAAGAGACGCAGCAAGAGCCGTTAGAAGTTCGTTAGCGTTGTTAGCGTCGCGACATGTGCCCATCTTGTTAGAGGAAATTAAGAAAAGAAAACCCGAAAAGCCGTGTCTAATATACAAGTACAAGATTACCTTCCTCGGGCAAAAGTAATTGTTCAATAAAAGTTTAGGGGTAGAAATACGCTACAAAGCTGTGGGGACTTTCCCCTAGGCTTGGTCAGGTTGGCTCTATCGTCATGTCGGCGTGGGGTGTTTCCGGAGAGTGGCGAGCGTACAACTGAGGAGGGTGCAACTGTTTTTCGCTGGAGACTGGAGACGCTTAGTCTTTTACGAGCTGTTACGTACGAAGTCAATCCCTTCAAAACTAGTGTTATTATTGTATTAAATAAATTAAACACCGTTCAGAATTTGCACGTCTATCACGCATACTATTGTTAGTAAATCAATCCCCTCAAAGCCGGTTGTAGCGAGAGGCCGGAAGGCTGATAGGGTATGGTGGGTTAGGTATATCCAGGTATACCGAAGCCGGACTCTCGCACTGTTGTCATTTTTGCCTCAGCACGGCTGAGCAGGGACCGTCTTCTGAATTCCGAATCCCCACGTCGCGTCTCATCGCAAGATAAGCTTTTCCTTTATTAAATTACAATTTTTGGATTATGTTATGGATTTATTCGTCATAACAGGATATAACGGGATGAATGAAAGTACAATAGAAGTTCCGTATAATTATTATTTCTTTTTATTCAGAACTGGTATTTGCTGATGAACTAGTATCGTCTGAATCATTTAAATTTGTAATAAATGGTTCTATTACTGATTCAATTATACCATCTAATTGCAAAAATTTATCTTCGAAATTAATTACTACATGATCGATACACGTTTTCCAATTGTCTGCAATAACATTATTTACTGCCTCGGTAAAGAAACGTGTCATATCGTTAAATTTAAAAGTTGTATTTCTCGTTGCAACATAATTTGTCACCTGAGTCCATATCATCTGTATGGGATTTAATTCGCAGTGATACGGTAGAAGTCTTAAAATTGTTACATTTTTTCTTTTGACTATTTCATCTACTGCATAATTGTCTGGTACTTGTTGTTGTTTCATAATATGTAGTAATTCGATTTTTATTATATCGTCTGCGAACGTTATCCCTCTTGCCCGTAACCATTGTTGGATGTCAGCTTTTTTCCACTTGCTGGTCGAAATTTTATCTATTTTACGACTGTGGTATGGAGCGTTGTCCATAACGACCACTGAATTTTCTTCTATTATACTAATAACTTTAGAAAACCAATCTTCAAATTTTGCCACATTCATTTCTTCGTGGTAATTCATAGTTTTTTTGGACTCAAAAGTCCATAACATCCCATTTACAAAACCATTTACACTTCCGATGTGGGTAACTATTAATCGTTTTCTCTTGTCGGAAGGATTTTTTAAACCGGTTGATAGACCGCTGGAATGTGCAGTTAGAGCCAATGTGATACTTGTGTCTTTCCATACAAAATTTTTAGTATGTCCTGCATTAATCCATGTTTCGTCCAAATAGTATATTTTGCTATTAGCCTCCCGGAATTGTTTCACTTAACGTAAATACACTAGCGTACAAGCAAACCGGAACGATTTTTCAAATGCTCATAACTACGAGAGTTTTCAACAGATTTCGATGAAACTTCGTGAGGAATAGTCTTTAAGTGTCTTCTGGGTGTGTGCAAAGTTGCATTTGCGAGGGTTGATGTGAAGGGGTTAATTCACCACCCTAAAGGGGAGTGTGTAAAAAAACGCTTTTTTGGAACAGGCCAGAGATGACGGAAGGGGTTGAAAAATTCAAAAAAACCTTTGGGGCGACTTTCCTTGATGCCCTCTACAAAATGCACTCCTTGAAATTCCTCTCGGACAAACCCAACCCCCATAACCTTACACCCCCTTTAAAATTCACAATTTTTGGATGGACGGAAACGGCATTCAAAAGTGGTGCGAGACCCTGCGCCCGTACGTGGTCAGCCCATGTTAAATTGGAGTCCGGTCTGGTCTGACCACGTACGGATGCAGGCTCTCGCTCCACTTCTGAATGCCGGCCTACTTACTACTCTTTCAAATTTGCGCCGATTTGATATCAAAAGCGTGATTCCAATAATCTGATTTTTTGGAGACCTGTTAATAAAGCATTCGCGCGTCCGAATCCATGAACGGCGTTGACGTGAGGTTACTCGTTCACCTTGCAGATGGGCCTGAAGTTGGAAGCGAGTTTTTAAAAAAATTGACATTTTCGTATTTTATTTCCATTTACGGGGAAAAACGACATCAAAACTGTGTCGCCCCAATGCCATGGACTGTACCACATGTGTTCCACGCAACGAAACGTCGTTCCAACCCTTACACTTGGGGGTGGACCACCCCTACCTTTGCCCCCGCTCCTCAGCTCCGAGAGCAGTTTTCGAAACGGGACCTTTTCGGCGTTCATCCTTAACGTATCGAGAACAAACGGTGAATTTCATCGCCCTCCGATGTGTGGAAGTGCTCCCTTATAAAGGGGATTGAAAATTTGCGAGCTGTTCCACCCCCCCACCCCCCAAAGGGTTCTTATGAGGTGCACGGTATGAGTGATAGCATTGTTTGGATCAGGGGAGTCCAGAGAATGCACTGAGCCCGAAGTCGAGACCGTCGTCCAAAAATTGTGGATTTTAGAGGGGTTGGGGGGTTGTGGGGGGTTGGGATTGTCCGAGAGGGACTTCAAGGGATGCATTTTGTAGAGGGCATCAAGAAAAGTCGCCCCAAAGGTTTTTTTTTTAATTTTTCAACCTCTTTCGTCATGCCTGGCCTGTTTCAAAGAGACGTTTCTTTACACACTCCCATTTAGAGGGGTGAATTAACCCCTTCACATCAACTCTCGTCAATGCAACTTTGCACACACCCAGAAGACACTTAAAGACTATTCCTCACGAAGTTTCACCGAAATCGGTTGAAAACTCTTATAGTTATGAGCATTTGAAAAAACGTTCCGGTTTACTTGTCCGCTAGTGTAGTTCCTTCTCCATACAACAATGTCTTCTCTGTCAGTTAAAAAACTATCGAACCTCTCCGAGTAAACTTAAAAATCATGTTTTTCAATCATTTGTGCAGTCTCATTTGTTTACAGTCTCCGACACTTTTTCAATCGTTGGTAGTTCATTTCGATGAAAAAATTGGAATCTGTCTTTTAACATTCTTATCGAAATCGTCTACTTTTTCAACAATCTTTTGGCGAATTTTTGTTCTGTTTGGAGACGATATTTTCCCTGACATCCTCTCTTTCCATATTCGAAAGACTGACCTAACAATATTACAAAATTTAATAATGTTTTTGCTGAAATACATATTTGTAAAATACATATTAACATATACATATATATAATTTTTACCTCTTCGAAACTCCTGCAGTATGACCAGTTATTTGCACTATATCACTGACACTTTTTCCTGGATTCTTTAATAGTTCTTTTTATAAATATTTAATACAATGTTCTTTTCACTTGCACTAATATATGTTCTTTTTGCACGCTTCCTGGCAGATGACATGCCAATGTTTTCTTCGTTCGAACTTGAGAACGACGACATGACGAAAAATGTTATAGGTTGTGACGGGGCAGAACTTTTCTGCCCGTCACGAAGGCACCCTGACCCCGGAGGGTCCTCGGTCCCTCCTCGCCCGAACACGCCGCGGAGGTGGTCTGCGACAGTATGGAGGTATGCGTGGCCCGCGGCCCAGTAGGGACCACCCCTTTCTTCTTTTGCGCCCCCTCGCGCTCGCGATCCGCGCCGCGTCCTTGCGAGAGCGCGGCAAATCGCCATTTGTGGTGTCCTCCACCCAAGGACGCCGGTATGGCCACCATCAAAGAGGACTTGCCACCCTCGGAAGATGGTCAGCCCTGCCATCGCCCGCCGCTGCCTCCGGAGCCCGCACCGTTGGAGATACCATGGTGGTGGCACACCGTAAGGAGCCCCTTAAAACTCCTGGGTAGGGAGAGCCGCGAGCCGGCGACGGGAAGAGCGCGATTTCGGGAAACGAGGAGACAATTAACGGTTGAACCGCGAATAGCGACGGATACGCGAGCGAGCACCTTTTTCCGCCTTTAACGTAAGAGAAGATATTAGTAGTCTTTCTTTCGGAGTGAGCCGTGTGTGGGTGAGCCTTCAAGAAGTCCCCCCACAGAGGACATCCGCTGAGGACCTTTGGACGAAATCTTGGACCTCCAAAGCCATTCCCCGGGACAGGTAGGGCCCACGCGTTGAGGTACCCTTTGTGCGCGCGCGCGCGCGCGTGTGTGTGTGTGTGTGTGAGCGAGCGCGGATCGAGTGTGTGTGTCCGTGAGCGTGTTCCGGAGCTATTTTTCGTCCGCGACAGGACCACCCCCGGAGGCGAGAACCCTTGGAGTTCCCTCCGTTCGTTTCGCGTATCTCCCTCGTGGCCTCGCGCGGTTTGAGAACGCGCCGCGTTTCGAAGGAAAGGACCCCTTCGAAACGCAAGACCGTTAATTCACGGCGTAACACTTTTTGGGTTGTATTTATTTTTTAGGGCGGATTCTCTGTTTGCGAGGTCCCCATAGAATTAAGTCGCGGCGGTTTCAGAATTATATTGAGAATTCCGCGTCGCGTTTCCTCTTCGGCGCGTAGTCGCCACACCTTCTTCCTTTTCGGTGTCAGTGTACCGCGGAATTCCCTCTCTTTTGGGTTTTCGGCTAAATAAAGCTCAACTTCACTTTCGTGGATCAGAGTTTCCCTTATTTTCTATGTCTTTCCTGACCTCCTCTGAGCCTGCTCTCCGCGTGAGCAGCCGGAAGGGCGAAGATAACGAACGCGTGTTTTTACACTGGCGCCCTGATTCCCTTAGGAATACATAAATTTCGTCCGTGGGATTTGTGCGACCGAGCGTGTCGAATAGTGGCTTTCCCGGCCGCCCACGCGAGGTTTCGTCACAAGGTATACTCAACGGAGGAAAAAATCACACGTTCACTTCGGAGGCTCGCAAAAATCTAACCATTTTTAGCCTGTTTCCAACGTATCTGTAATCCCACTTACTAGCGCAGAGTACCTGAAGTCATGAACTACACATTTGGAAATCATTTATATAGGTTTCTGCCGAACCTTACATGCAAGAGCTCTCGGCAAGGGACCACCATAACTTGGCCCTGAGTTGTAACATCTGAAAGCCAATGACTGTAGTCGCAGAGCTGATCACGTGAAAAGCGGGGCAGTTGATTGTTTTTACTTGGTGCCTCGTCTCGCTGAACGGACTATAGAGTCGGCTGTAGTGCTACTCGAAGCACTATCCATGCCGCCCGCCGTGAAAGCACGTGGTCGCGCGGAGAGGTTATGTTTCCTCCGTGTCTTGAACGGGAAGTGGTACCAGCTTCAAAACCGCTTGGTCGAAAGTTTGTGTTCTTCAGCGCAACGTGACGACGCGAACTAGGTCGTCGGATCCCGGGTGGAGCCTTTCCACTTTTCCCAGTGGCCAACGGGTAGGAGGAGTGAGCTCGTCCTTGTCCAGCACTATTCGGCCTGGTTGGAGATTTTCGCGCCGATTCTCCCACTTTGGACGAGGTTGAAGCTGGCGCATAACCTCCTGACACAACCTGTGCCAAAAGTGTGAAAATGTGGAGTGAATCATTTTCCAGCGAGCGGTAAATGGAATCGTAAGGAGTTCAGCAGGGAGCTTGGGGGGGGGGGGCAGCCTTTCACCGACTAAAAAATGTCCTAGAGTTAATGGTTCCAGGTCTCGAGGTTCATCGGGCAGCGGAGTCAAAGTTTGGGAGTTTGAGCACGCTTCTATTCGGCAAAGAAGCCATGGAACTGCCATCGATGATCGGATTGCAACCATGACTTCGTCGATCGCGGCCATGGCTGCGTCATCCAATCGTTCCCCCCAGGAGCAGGAACCTGAACGTCGTTACCCCAGATTAACCACCCGACCTTCGCAGGGGATCTGTTCAATGGGAGAATTTTAAAGATCAATTTGTCTCTCTAGTACACAAGTCGGCTAAACTGTCAAAAGTACGTAAACTACAGTACTTAAAATCGTGCCTCACTGGTGAAGCCGCACAGATGCTTGATCGGGCTTCCGCTACGAACGCGAATTATAACGGGGCCTTTTTTCTTTTTTCTTTTATTGTGGGGAAATGCGTTACGCATACCTCGGTTTCCTGGGGGGGGGGGGGGGGGGAGCCGAGGTTATGTGGGACTACCGGAGGCCTCCGGCTCCCCTCCTCGATGGCTACCCACTAAAACCCCACACCCGCCTGAGCTACGTGGAAAGCGCCTGGTACACGCGAGTACTCACAGGACGCTTCTCAGCTTAC